ACCAAACTGTTCTGCCTTTGACAACATAGTCAGTATTCTGCAAATCATCGCGTTTAATTTTGTTATTATGATTAACCGTGTTGCAATTTCTGCAGACACATGAGGGTTTGGCTCGGTCAACTTAAGACGTCATTGTCCATCTGAAAGAGTGTTTTAGTCCCCAAGGAGAACCCAGCTAAGCTAATCTAGTTTGTACATACTCTAAACATCACGTTTTTGCTAAACCAACATTTCAGTTAACAATATATACAATGTTGAACTCGCGGAAGCTCTTCTGATAGGCAATGTTTACCCATATCCTGTTTGAGTCTTTTTTTGTCGCATTGTTGAAAGATCTAAACATCGGCTTATTTGATTCAAAACAAAGATAAATGAACCATCGCGTTATAAAATAACTTTGTGCAATAACAATGCTGAATTTATAGCTTGCCGATTACCTAGGAAACTTTAACCCAGTTTACGACTCAAAATACCGTGCACGCGACGTGGACATGAATCGCTTTGTCAAGCTGTATAATTTGTTAACTTTTGGACAGGTAAATGTAAACCAAACACTCTTGTTTTAAGTATTTATCAGCAAAACATTGCACCTATTTTGTGCCAACGGAAAATTTCTCCACTAAATTTCAGCCTGTTTGCCCTTGCACAAATCCTGAAGACGCTTAGTTCGAACAGACTTCAAGTGATTTTGTACGTATTTAGCTAAATGAGGCATAATGCAGACAACAGCTATGGGCCCTGCGTCAATTCGCATGAGTATCATTGATATGCGCGCCAATTTGCTAAAGTTAGTTAAGCCACACGCGAAAGCGATTGGTGATAGTAATTTGCGAAAGAGTACAATATCAGCTTTTAGTGGGTAAATAATCCATTTTAATGGTGATTCCCCATATTAAAAAAGTTGAAATAGCTTAATTTTGCTGTGAATAGTGAGGCCATGTATGCAACACAAAGAAGAAACCCTTCTAATGTAAGATGTATTAGCGTGTGTAGCATTGAAACGAAATCTTTGAAGCCTCGTTAAAGAGGTCTGTTATCACTGTAACCTTTGAGGTCGCAAGTTTACACGAATGAAAACAGCTGATAATGATGATTTTGCTGATTCTTTCTTCTTCGCTGTGTGTATACAGAGTTGAAATAAAAGTACGCTAGTGCAGTTACATCCTCTCCTTTCAAGTTAACCCATATTTTCCGTAAATGACCTCATGTCATCGCCTCACGACCACCGAAATTATTTCCGATCGTTGTCGTTCTGGACCTTCCGTAGGGCTAAACAGTTTGATTGCAGATTTATTTTATTTAAAGAGATTACTAGAGTACCAAAATTTTTAATTATCATTTTTAGTGTAACACACCAAATATTGCACTGGTATTTAAACCAAGTATAAGAAACGATTGCTAAGAGTTGACGAAATCAGCTGACTGTCATTTAAACACATCAACATATAATAAATATAGTGAGCCCTCACCACATCGAAATTAAGAGTTCACAAGTTTCTTAGTAGGATTTTCAAACAACGCAGCTGGCGTTTATCTGTGGCGAATTTCTAATTCACCAAAATCGGTGTAAATAACGTAAGTTAGAAATAGGTTTAATTTTCTTGAGGTGAATTACGAACATTTCATTGACACACTTCGAAATGAAATAAAGGAAAATTGAACAAACTTTTGAAAGATGGAAGTGACATTTGTGAAAACAAAGCTACCTCAGATTTAATGGAAAATGTTTTTAAAATATGCACCAGAGACTCTTTCCAACATGCCTAAAAATCAGTGCCAATTCATTTGCATTGAAAAGCGTTGGCCCTAACCATAATCTTGTATATGTGTCTGATTTGCTCTATAAACTAGGTATTGATGATGCCACTTGCCAACAATCCTACTTTGTGGTTTCGCAAAATGACGTTTTATATTGTCGGGATCCAAAATCCAGAAATTAAGATCGAATGAATACTATTAACTCAATCAGTTTAAAGCAAAATTTAAAGTTATGCAACGGAGCATTTGTATTTCTCGTCTAGTTGCCAACGTGTGCACTTCGAAACGCCACATTGTTGCCTTGACTGAGGTTACGAGGTTACAGAATTTAATCATTTAACTCGAGCTGTTTCTGTTGAGAACGTGACTAAGCTCAAAATTTTTGGGGTAGGCCTATCCTTAAAGTGTGTGAAAATAGATTCTTTTAAGATTTTAATGTGACAAATTACCATCTCAACACGTATGGCCAACAGAAAAAACGCACACTCGAAAAAGTCTCCGATGTCACGTAGCCTACTTTGACCCTCAAAAACGCTTAACACCTCCATTAACAAAAAAGCTTGGCAAAATAAACAGTTAAAGGTATATTGTCTTTGATTTCAACGTACTTTGAGTAGAAATGTGAGAAAAAATCCAAATAGGTCTTCTTTCCTTACGGTGACAATTATTTTGTTCTTTTTATTCAAGACTTTTGAATACATAATTCAGATGCTCTTCAATTTTTTTAAATGTGTGCCGACTTGTAAAGATGTTAAATAAATAAATACACAAATAAATTAATGTATAGACACGTTCGCATTGTGTTCAAGCATATGAACATCTGATGCCTTTCTCGATTTGCTTTGTTGTACATTTTTGGTACTTGTAGAGTCTGATTGCAAAGCGTCATGTTTACCTTCACCAATGGTTAACGAACATGTCACCATTTCCTAACACGAACATGAAGTTTTTGTGGTTAACACAAATTACCAGAAAAGTTGATTAAGTGGTTTTATCATGCATAATTACGATGCTGCAGTGACTGAACATGTCACAAAGCCTTCTTGACCAAATTTCGGATGTCCCAAATAAAACACAAATTGCTATCTCTCTAGCGATGTGATCAGCTTTTTAACAACATCCATTGTAAATGGTTATCAAGTTTCGGGCCAGTCAAAACAATGTATTTGCATTTAATTGAACTTATGGTCAAAAATAAATAAATTGTAACAATTCGTGATGGTACTTTCAAAAAGTCAAAAAATGGGTATTATTGAGGCCATAGTTTGTTACCATTAGGGTTGATAGACCAAGTGATTGCAGGAAAATGTCGCTTTACACTGCCGTAAAAAGCAGCACTACGAAGATGTTCAACGTCCAGCCGATTACACCTGGGTTTCGGTTGCAGTCAACTTCATGACTATTCGGAAATGTTTAATCACACAGATGAGGTGTTCGAAGGACTTCAACACAAGCATTTAAAGTCACTCTTGGCAAAATTATTACACCCAAGACCATCACTGATAAACAGGAGGCAGAAATAGGGGTTTTGTGAAAAAGACCCCTAAGTGTTTATGCTTTTAGCGTCAGGCTTAGTGGCGCCTTCAATGCCGCCCCACGGTTTTAACAACTCAAATTCTTTGAAGTGAGGCCAGGTTACTTTTGATGCATTTAGACAACAATCTTTCAACCATGCTTAAACCATTCTGGGTTTGTGAGTGCTACCAACGTGACCTATTTGCATGGACTTAACTAATCCATTTTCAAACAAGGAAGTCTCCAAAGTAGCCTCAAAAAATATCACTAATTTAGTGAGTTTCGATCCTAACAAGTGTGCTAGTAATAGGCTTTTCGGTGAATTGCTTCAGAGTCTTGCAATTCGACACTCACAGCAGAGGGAAGCAAACGAAGGGATTAGATGGACTGCTGAGGTAAGATGGTCTCACAGGTAAATGAGTATTTCTAGAAAAATAACGCTGACAATAGCTTCTACAACCATTCTAGTTGTCTAGAGGAGGAGAAAAATTGAATGCACCAATTTGTCAACTCAGCATTTTTTTAATTAAATGGCTTATTTGCCTTTGTGTTAGGCTATGCATGAACTTGTGAATTTATCCCATGTAGGAAATCGATCCTGAAATTACAACACTTACTGCTTTGAAACCATACGACAGAAAGCATAAAAGGCAACAAAGATAGAGTAATTTGATTTATTCAATTAGTGTCTCTAATAAACAGAAGCTAAGAGCTTAATTCGGGAGTTGATGTCATTGGTTTATAAACGAAAATGTGTGCCAATAAAACTAAAAGTTGTCATTATTGGATTAACAACTACCGCAGAGGTATTGAACGAAATTGGATAGCAGGCACATAGTCAAATTTAGGTAGTGAGGTGAATAATTCGGCTGATGACGCAGGTCTTAGAGTTCACAAGTTCTACAAAAAAATCTATTGACTCACAAGAAAGATGGGTTTAAAGGTGACGTTAAGAGGGCATTGAAAAGTTGGGTAAATTGATGAAATAAAGAATTTATTTGCATATCATAAGTGCCACATTGAGGTGCCATGTTTAATGATTTATAGTGGTCGCAATTTCCAGGCGATTCCAGCCTAGTCATGAATTTTTAAATGCAAAACTTGTGCTAATCTACTGCTTCAATAAAACCATTTGAGTCAGCGTGCACTAAATAAAAAATTCTGAACCAATGGCAGTATACTTTCAAGTAGGTCTTTTAATTCTCGTAACAACACACAATTGTTTTGAATTTATACTTTCGATGAGTCATATATGTTTAAAGGGTTCAAAGTTCGATGTGCTTTTGCATGTACATTTTTGTGCAGCGACAACCATTTTTGATATGCCATTACATCACATTTACATTACACCTATCAGAAATTTCTAAGTCATTAACTGACCAATTTAAATTACTTTCGAAATGCTTTGGATTAAAATCGATTTAACCTTTCATTTAACACTGCTTGCTGCGCATCCTTCTGTTCACTGCAAAATTTGTTTACACGTCGTAGTTTGCTATTGAAGGAACAGAACCTTACAATTAGTTCTACAAATTCCTTTGTGTACCCCTAACAAATGGCACTTTGTGACAGGTCTTCGGCTTATTCAGCATTGCTACAAATTCGACCCAAGCATACATTAGGCACCTTTTCTTTTGAATAAACCAGATTGAAATCATGGTAATGTTAGGATATATATTATATATATGAGGGAACGTTCCAAGCGTGTGAAGCATCGTCAAAGAGCTTCACAGCGCCCCACCACCAGAAAAATTATCCTCAGAGGAGAGACTGAAAACCAACGTGGGAGTCAGTGGCCGCTGGTGGTCCCGATGCGATTGTTGTGCCAAAGATGTTGCAGACGTCGCAGTATGCGGTCGCGAGGGCTTTTGATACCCGCTAGAGGTTTTAAACTGGTGTCTCCATGTAGGGGAACTCATATTGCTCAGATTTTCACTACTGCTTCCATTTACCCCCACTTGAAGTAAGTGCTGCACCGGACTGTCGTCTCGACTCTTGTAACCCTCTGAAAACCCATCATCCCCTGCTAGGCACCTCTTCTGGCTCCGCCAATTTGAACCACTACCGCCGCCGCCGCTACCACCACCACAACTGCTGCCGCCGGTACTGGGAACTCCTGGACTTGGAAGCGACCGGCGTGGACGACCTTGAGATTCGATCGCCCCAGCGAACGATGAACTATGACGCCGGATTTCTGCAGTGGTGATGCTTTTTGTCGAAAGAAAGCCACCATTTGATGGAGATGTGCGATAAGTTGCTTCCGGAAGACGTCGACTCACGGCCACAGGGGAAGAAGTGAGCTTCGACATGGATTTTCGGGGAGCCAGAGAAAGTTCTGGAGAGGAAGGAGGTGAAGAATCATTGAGCTGCTTCATGGATTGTGAGAGAGTCGAGACACGAGGCTCTGGCACATTTAACTCAACAGAGCTAGGAACATTACTCATTAAGAGCTGCTTCTCAAGAGAGTAATTTTCCAACTGGAGAGCACGCAATTCCCTCCTAAAACATGCAGCATAGAAAATACAATTAATTACTCATTATGTTTATTTATTTATAGTGGTTGTGGCAAGTGAGTTTTAGGAAAAAAATTATTCCGACTACGAAATCGTTATAACAAGAACTGTATTGAATAAGATCACTAAATCCTACCCAAATTTTTCCGTATGAGCTCTCAAATTTCGAACGCCTTGAATCCTATACTTAAATTGCTCCAATTACTAAATTGAGCATTGTCTCATTAGAAAAAATAAATGGGTTATTTGTTTTAATAAATGTTCAAACCAACTTAAATGCCTTCAAATAATTTATCAAGAACATTCAATGAATCCTTCCGTCGTTTGTTACCCTGGAAAATGATCGCCCTAACGAACGCAGAGTTCTAACGTATTTTACTGCACAATTTCGTTCATCTTGTTCTCAATAAACTTCAAAATCACAGAGTAGGACAGATGGAGGAAGCGTTTCGCATTACTGTTCAAACAGTAAACTCCGCCTTGCGTTTTGAGAGAACGGTTTAAATTATTGGACACGAGAAGTTTTTTTAAATGAAGCTTATAAAGCCTCCGATTGATGGGTTTTGTGAAAAGTCAAGTCTTCTTTATAAATTGTAAGTATGACTTTCAATTTTCCAAGACATCTTCAGCCTGAAGGCTTGTAGTGCGTGAATTCAAATGAGGCACGCAAATACGCCAATGATATCGTGACTAGATAAACCTTCGTAGTGTTTCGTTAAATTTCATTCTCATTTATACTTCTGATTGACAAGTAATGCGTCCAAAGAATACAAAACTCAGCGCAAGTTGCATTGTGTACGTCGAGCAGTTGTTTTTCATCGAACTCCATTCTACCTTCGATGAAATTTGGCCCCTGACTTTGATTAATTACCCGGCGAATGAGATCTCACTAGCCAGGCCTTGGCAACTCAACCAGAAATCTTGTTTTGAAGGGAACCGGACCCATTTTACTGACGTTGCAAGCGTGAAAGCAATGACCAGGTTGAGTTATAAGCTACCAAAATCCTCCCACTTAAAATTTACATGGCTTGCAAACTCAATGAGAAACCCATTAAACAAGTGCAACCATGCTTCAGTCCAGTGAAATGTGTTAAGTCCACATCTCCTGTCTTGTTGATATTTCCTATAAAAATCTTAATTTTCTTCTACCGCTTAGTTGTTCTCAAGATATTCATACTGTCGCAAGCCCCCAATTGCACATTGAAAGTTCAAGTCGCAGCACGATCTGTTGTCTTTTGAGTGCTATAATTGTATAATTGTTTTCTCCCTGCTACTAGAAAAAAACATTACAACAGATACGTGAAAAAATCTGTAAAATTCTAGTTCTGCACCCGACTTAGTGTCATTTTAGACGATCTTCTTTGCTACACTTCTGTGATGTTAAATTTTCAAAAAAAATTGTTGAGCAGTTGCATAACAATTGAAAAATGCAGAAACTTATAAAATTTAAATACTTTGCTTCAAACACAGTAACTTTTAATTTTATTTGTTTCCATGGTGAATATACAATTAAAGCTAATATAAGCCTGATGATCAAAGCATTTTTTATCGTAGAAAGAACCCAACAGCAAATTTTGTTTGGCTGAATCAAGACTTTATCAGTCTACCTGTCAGGTTATTTTTGTTTTGTTTACAATGAAACCGGAAATAGGGTCGTAACTCGCCCAAATTCCTTACAGTGAGAAGTTGGCATTGGTCAAAGTGTGGGCCGTGGTTACGGTCGTAAAAGTGTCTTTACGGCAGCACCGTAATTTTAGCCTTTCATTTCACCATCTCGTGGACTGTTAAGCTGACGTGGCTGCTTAAGCCTAATGTCGATGGCTTGCGTAAGCAATCACAACAGTTGTTTGATCTTGGCTAAAAATGTCCTTTCTCAGGACACTTGGGGGGAAAAGATGCAAGTCAGGAAGGAGAGTGTTCAAGTCGTGCGATCTAACACGTTAATACAACATGAGTCTAATATTAGGCCAAAACTCAAATCATAGGGACACATGAGATTCCCGCATGTGAAGAAGGAGTTGCTTATATTAAGATGTCTTAATAATTACGTCATTTTTGTTACTTTTGTTACTTTTGTCTCCTACAGTCATTTCTCACTTAAGAGTGTATTTCCATCAATGAATGGAAATGTTTGCAACTAAACGTCCTTGTGATGTTTCAATCCGCTTTGTCAGATATATCAATGCGTGCTTTAATACCTAACCATCTAAAGGTATGTATTAGTACTGTTTTAGGGCCCTTAGACAATTTTTTATGCTCAAGCTGTGAATACCTTTTATCGGTAATATTTGTGTGCCGGAGAATTTTCAGTTTCCTGAAGTCCAAATATGGTGATTAACTGAATACATGACTTGATTTTGTCGTTTGTATTTAGTCTATATTCCGGATTTGCTATAACTTAACGAAACTAAAGTGCTGCTTTACTATCTAACATGACTGACGGTAAAGTAATACCAAAATTGAACCGAATTATTACCTAATTCAAGTTAGATTTTAGTATTTGCATAGCATGCTTCTCCTGAATAGATGTTTATGAGCAATAAAGGCATCGCTTAAGATATGTCCTGATCCGCCTTGTTATGAAACTTTGGTAGTCACTGAATGGACTTTCTACGAATTCCAAGAGCTGTGAAAATTGTTACATCTAAAGTAACGCCTCATTGGCTTTGTAATAATTTCCCAAAGATTCCCAAACGTCGTATCTAGTTGTGTTTTGAAAGGGATTCGTTAAACTGTGTGTCGTCACATCTGGTTGTGTACAGAATGAACTTGAGAATTGGCACAAAAGGTATGTAACTTCTTCATAACAGAGTACTACCAGTAGAAGGCACCATTTGATCTTTGAAAATAAATCTTTTAATGTAACCTTGGTTCTGGAGATTAAGAATGCTCTCAAACATAGCCATTCGAGTTTATCTGAACTTATTATCTTTAATTCTCTACTGACGGATTAGTGAACAATAATTAAAATTAATGGGCGCTTCTAAAGCGTGGGGAATCGCTGTTTCTACCAAGGTGGTAGTCTTTATGATAGAGGGAAATTTTGGCAAATCACGTTTTATTTGTTTTCACCACTTAGTTATTTTTAATCAGGCCAGTTTTCATGTGTTTTGTATCCTGGTTACAAATTACTGATTCATTAAAATAAATCATTAGATACTTATTTTATGATAAAACTATTAACATTTTGCCGTTTATTATTTGTCCTTGTCATATATATTTATGCATACAGTTTTAATGATTTGAGATTGTTGAATTTATGAGATGTTAAAGATGATCACTTTCAAAATAAAGCCAAGCAAACCATCTACTTATTTTCGAATCAGTTCCGGCTTGGGCAATTACATGCCTTATTTGAGTGAATAGACATCTTTGTAAACAGCTATTAATTTAAACCGCATCTGATTTTTCTCAATTAACCCTATCAAATTAAGCCAAATTTTAACCAGATAGGCAGACAGTTAAGGCGTTTGGCATGTAAGTAATTCGGAATCATCGGAAAGAGCAATCGGGGTCCCCACCTCACGAAATACATATGAGTTGTTTCACTCGATTCATTATTAAGGCGACGATTCCAGATAGTTGATGTCAGAAATGCAACATTTAAGCCTACTTTTGTCTTGTTTTGGTTTTTAGGTACTAGAGCGCGACGTCAAGAAACCCGTAGGAATTTAGTGGACCATATTTTAATAAATCTTTTTATCGAGAAATTCATCACTGGTGTACGATGACGTTGGCAAGAAAACATTCGTACTCGAATAGCAGTAGACTGAATAACAGATTTCCCTAAACCATCGTGCAGGGTGTTGCATGCTGAATGTTGCCGTCACCACTGGTTTAAGTGTGTGTACCACAATTAAAACGGAACGTAAATAGAACTGAACAGTAGCTCTCTCGATTAGGCTATAAAATTTGTGCTTCAATAAAGATTCGTCATTTTTAATGAAACTCGATGAGAGTTTTTCGAATACATCTCTCTACGTAACACTAAACCGACTGAAAAAGTATTATTAAGCTGTCAGGCTAGAAGTGTTGCCCAATGTATACGCAGTAATTTGCCGTAAATGAAGAAAAGGAACTGTATTTAATGCTAATCCATTATCTACTTGAGAAATATGAACGGTGTATCAGGCACAATGACACCAAGTCGTTGGTATGTATGGTTCAACATAATCCAAGGGTGAAAATTCATGCATAGCCGTCCCAATCAAATTTTAACTCTTTATTGCTTTTTATCGGTTTTGACCATCCCTCCCCTCAACATGGTACAAATTAGAGTCGAATGAAGGAAAATCACGTCCACAAGAGGTCTAAAATATTACACTCCTTAATTCGAGAAATTAATATGTCAAATTCTCTGGTAATGGCGAAATGTCTGCTCTTGAAAAACATTAATTCATTTTTCAAGAGGTTTCTGAGTTCTGATGACAGATGCCTATAAATATCAAAGGTCAGCTAGCTGAAATATGTGTGTGTGTGATAGTCAAGTTAACATTGATTCAGATGGCCATCCCAGCAGGTGGTAAATGCATATGAGTGTAAATAGATCAACTGTGGCATGGCATCGCTATCTTTATTAAAATAAAAACGGCAACAAAATACAACAAAAAGGAGTAAGCCGCAGGTTAATTTAAATTTTTCTATGAAGCACCTCAGAAAGAGCTAGTCTACTTTAGAATCGCCTTCGGTACATTTAAAGCTGAAGTTGAAGACCGAAATTAGAGTAAGTGGAATTGCATGGGACTTTACTGTGCTCATGTACGAACCCTGCTAGTTCTAATGCCAGTGTAATGACAATAAACTGCCTCTAGTAACCCACTGCTAGAAGATTGTTTCTGTGTTCATTTTGGGACATTATTGCCTAATGTATCGTCTTGTGGATCTGAAGAGACTTCGGTTACGCAACCATTGAGGCACAATTCAGTGTAAAACAGAATGGTCGGTATGTAAAACTGCCATGTAACAAACCCATCTAACACATCATGCATTCAAGACTACACCAACAATATCTAGATTTCTCTGTAAACTGGTTTATTTGCAATTACCAAACATTGGGAAATGTTAGCAGTTTATTTATAAAACTGCCATTTTTTCTATCTATCAGCTTGACAACAACGCTAAAGCTTTCTGTGCAAATTTGTCATTACACTCCGCGTTCGGCGTAAGCATGTAATGCTGGGTAAACAAGAACGATCGCATTTTGAATGGAGTGAGTTACCTACACCTAATGGCAGTGACTCTTTCCCATTAGCCGACATACACAGTAATATTTATTAAAGCGTCATTATTACTGCATGATATGGGCAACATTAATGTGATCGTCATTATATACGTGACATACCTGAGCAGTTATGTGTGCATTCATAACGGTTGGTTTCCTTTGGTAGTGGAAAGGACGCTCTTCAGATGTATTTATTTTAAAACATTATTGCCTCTATAGTTGATTAACTAATCAAATTAGAATCGATTTAATTCACTGGTAAGTTCACAGATAAGGTAGTCATTTTGAGTCACAATGAACAAATAGGCATCCATGCAGAGAAAAATGACTACTTCATCTCGATTATGACCACAAATGCACAAGGCATTTGTAGGCGAAAACATTTGACTTAATATTACAACTTTGTAACTGTTTGAGCACATTTATTAATTCTTGAGTGACGAACAAAGATACGTGGTGATACTTACATCTAATATATATTTAATCACAACACAAGCGTGAGCTTCCACAATGATTGACTTATATCAACCTAGAGCTCTTTCTTAAATGGAAAATTGAGTGATGGTGCTTCTAAGACTCCAGTACTATACGTCCTAGTGTCGAAATATACCTAACCTGTAGCATTTTTTAAAACACACTTTTTCATTCTGTTTAAACAGGAATTACCTTCCGTGGATTTTGACTAGAAACGAGTCTTTAACGTGAAATTGGTATCTAAACTTGTTATTTAGTAAATTACCCCCGGCAATTTTAGTGTAACCCAATGCCAAGCTAATAAACCAAGTTATGTTATAGTAAAGTGTGCTCACCCTTGTATTTGTGCTCCAAAAATTATCACTGACGGTGGTCTATTTTATTAAGCGCCCACGACACGTAGATTTTTCTAGTTTTTTATAAACATTAGAGTTAATTCTTCCAGCAGAATGCTAATTTTAGACATATTTTAGCACAGTTTGTTAAACGCACTAAGTTGGGCCAATTAATGAATTCCGCAAATTCAAAGTTTTTTCTTTTCAAATGAACAACGTTAAAACACACATTTCCTTAAACTTACGCCAATTGTTTCTTCTGAGTATGAACCAGATCGTCGTACACATTGTAATTACTCTGATACAGGCGTTGAGATTGCAACCACTCTATTCGAATTGTCATTGCATTATCGTTGGGTCGGATGTATCCGGAGGACGTGTCAATGACCTGTTTAATGGCACAAAAATGAATTTTGTAGAAATGATTAGAGCAGAATAATCGATATCGCGATGAACACCATGGAATTGCCAATTAAAAAATCAATAATTTTCTAAGATTTCTTATGCTGCTCTCAGTCGATCATTCAAAATTCCTTGTGTTGGTTTTTCGATGTAAAGATCCCACCTACCGTGTCATGGAGTCTAGCGGATCGTTTATTGCTCCAGGTGTCTTCACCAACTAAAGATTTCGGCCACCAATTAACTGGATATTAATTCATGCCTTCGGAATGTCAATTTAGGGGATTGGGTAAGTATAATGGGGACATTGAGAAGGGATGAATCTCAGTCAAAAAAATGAAGCAAAACTGTACAATTCAGTTTATTGCCTTCTACCTCTAGACAGAGCTGTGTCCTTGAGTAAGACGCATGAGCTTACAGTGAGGAAAATCGTTAGATGGCGGGGGGTTGAATCCAACATGGATGTTATGTGTACAAAATAGGTTCAAAATTGGGCCTATGTACTCGCCGAACCAGTATTGGATTAGACACAAACGTGAGTTAAATAAAATGGGAAATAGATTCCCACTGCTAGGCTACATACAGTTGTTGTTTAAAGTCATTATTAACCTAACCTACGTTGTTAGGCTTTTCTCAATGTTAGATTTTCTCTATTTACCATTCGTTGATTAGAGTTCGGAGGCGTTTTTACTGAACGGACAATTAATTTTAAACTTTGAAATAGAAAACGGGTTATGTATTTACCGAGGCATTTACTTTTTTTATACAGAAATACCAAGAAGTGGTGGGAATACCTCATTACCAGATAACCCTCCAGTAAAGTGTTACTAGACGTAGACGACCTGTTAGGTGGCAGAAATCTGGTCCAGAAAGGAGGGATGTGCTTACTGGAAGTATTTACATGCGACTAGCATTGCAGCGTTTGAAATAGACATCCAGGAACCAATTACTAAATAAGAAATTTTGATTCACTTTTTGATCAGCGTTTTAAAGCATCTTGGTAAAACGATGCAATCTTAAAAGACTGTTTTGGAATTTAATTATGTAAGTTAATCAGATGGCATGAACTCCAACAAGGCAATATTAACTGTCCTATATGGACTATGAATTTATATGAAGTTCAAACCAAATTTAAGTTAGAACTAACTTCATAACCATTGTTTAAATTTCAAAATTTGAAATACATAATGTGTAGAGTTATACGTAATGCCCTTAAGCCAACTATTTCAAATTACTGTGTTACAGCCATGAATCAGTTATGTACTCAGAATTCACACCGGAAAATAGAAACACACCAGCAGCTAAGAAATAAAGACAAGTACTGCACTGGTTGGGTTAACACGAAAAATTCCTTTTACCGTGGCTCGTGAGGCCGAGTGCCACGGCATGCTTCAAGAAGCTTGTGTGAGAGGTCATGTTAGCGCAGCAGCCATCTTAATACGGTAGATTCCAACGTTGGTGATTTTTGACAAAGTTATCAATCACTTAATTATTTTTGATTCCCTATGTTAACGATTTAGCGTAAAAAAGGCTAAAAGTCATTAGTATATTTCATATTTGCGGGTAGATCTCGTCTGCTTCTGTTGGTATGGCGTTTTAAACAACACTCTCAAATATTTAGACCCACTAACGTCCAAAAATGCAGGTAACTATGCACTTTGATGTAAATTGTGGCATCATTTCAGTTTTCAATTGCATTTCCCAAAAATTGGCTTACATGATCATAAATTGGTGTGAGCACGTAACATATGATACATATGTATCGATGATCTCTTTAATGAAAAAGCGTGCAACCCAGCACGTGCTGCTTCATTGCCGAAATGGTATGCACGACGCACGGATATCTTACCTTTTCAACAGGAAGATCTAAGGCAACTTCAGTTACCTCATCTGGATGGATCATCATCTGTTGAGTATCTCTTGAAAGCTCAGATGAATCCCTGCGTCCACCCCTAGAAGCACTGACGGAACATCGAAATGTTGGCACGTAGCTCACGTAAGGGGAGTTGAGTGCCTTCACCACCCCCCGAGACGTCTCGTGGGGAATGAGATGCACATTCCATGCCACGCACCGCAGCTCACAAGGTTTGTCAGGAATCTGAGACGATGAACCTTCTTTTGTGAAGCCCCCAGCTCCACTGGTAGCGGCTCCATTTTCGTGGTAATGAACCTCGACGACTGGGAAGAAACGAAGGCGCACTAAGGTGCCAAGAATGTCACTCAAAACAACCCAGTCGTGGCCATCAGGGTCCTTACACCGGGCAAAATTCTTTCCTCCTTGAGGGGCTATTGGGATCAGATCAATTCGGGAGACAGGCGCTGCTGCTAACATCTCAATGATTATCTTAACCCGCTGCTTTGCTGGAAGGGGACCTGCTGTGAACCATTTCGGTTCGCCAATAACACAACCAGTCGTAGTTGCCCCGTTATCAGCTGTTATGAGGTGGTCTACGGGCCCAAAACTTGACTCACCCATTGCACCCCAAATGAGTGTTGCCTTATAACGCACACGACACCAGTGGTTGGTTCGGCTGTGACGCTGAAGCTTTACTCGTGGGCAAGCAGCGCTTGCATTCGCTTCACTAGGACTTCTTGAAGAGCGCATGAAAGAACTGATACTGTGTTTCTTTTGATCCGCCTGTGGCCAAGTTAGGCTAACGTTCCAATCGGAACCAGCAAAGGTAAAACTAGCCGACTCCAACCGAAGTCCAGTTCGATTAGCTGCATCTTTTTGATAACCCTTGGGTAAGGTAAGAAATTCTTCATATGTGGTGCTTGCATTCTGAAGCTCTACCTCGACAAGCCACGTCCAATCATCAAAAAGGAAGTGTTCGGTCGCCAGCTGGTCAGTTCCGACCCACGCCATTTTCCAACATGTTGAATCGTCGGCAGTAAACGTAACTTCTCGCTCCTCATGAGTTATATTAGAATTGACTGACTCGCGATTTAACAGTGTATATCTTATCATCTCTAGCTGACACTTCATTCCCGCTAGCCCTCCGCAAAGGCTAAGACCAATATTGAGAGGAGCCTTTTGTGCAGCCGGACGCTGTGTGTCTTTGCCGTTCGTGAGTGCTTCCTCTGATTTTGTTGCACTGTCTTCATGCTGAAGACAAAGCTGCAGTTGCCAACTCTGTCCTCCATAAGGAAACTCTTTCGACTGGGCGGCGTTTACGAAACCACGGGTGAGTTGTGATGGAACAATGAATGTGAAAACCTGACTGTCAGCCTTGTCCCCAAGCCGAACGAATCGGTGAAGCTGAATACAGTTCGATTTGGCCGCAACGGAACCGAAACTCTTCATAGGTAATAATAAAACAAATATGAACGCACAATTACAGTTACTAAAATTTACATCAATGCCAATGATGATGATTGGTTGACCGAAGTAATGGCCAATGAGTGAGCAGTACTCAGGTCGTGTTGGTGTACGCACACGCTTGAACGCATGAACAATTTTCGCGCATGTCGTTTTAATCTGTACAAAAGAATAATGTTTCTAGTTGGACCTATTGTAAGGCATCATCCCACATCGGCACCGAAACATTCAACATAAAAGGAGGTTGTGGTGAAATCGACAACACAAGAGTTGGCCACATTCACATTTATGGCTAAATTGTGTGTCTATTTTAAGGTGCGAACCAAACAAATGGAAAAAAACATCGGACAAATTAAGACGATCTCAAATGTATGTGTGCTAAAGCCAAAAAACAAAAGAAATGCAGTGCTAATGGCGATTCAAATTATATGTGATTAAAACAAGAAGTAAAACATTGGATATGTGAAAAATAAAATAAGTTTGCGTATATCTATGTAATATGTGGTACACATTGGCACCATTTAAATCATATTTTGTGAAATTTTGAATGCTTACAAAGCAAAATTAAATTAGAAAACATTTTTTTTACCAGAAATAATACACTGAGGCAATATTAATGAGACCAGTGTTGGCTAACGACTTGATGTATAAACCAGCTCAAGTATGTTACTGATTTAACAGCTCCAATAACTTGTTACAATAATTTTAATAATTTTTCTGAACTGTGGAAAAAATTAACTATGTGTCCAAGCTAATTATGTCGTTGCCGACTACTTTATTTTTCCCCGTATATATTATGCAGTGTTTAACTACAGTATAAAAAACCTAATTCTTGCATTGTTCACCTGTGAGATTAGTACTTACGTCTGTCTACGCACACATATATTTAAATGAATTACTATATAGTAGTTTGTATTTCTTAAATTTAACAAAAAATATTAAGGTAAATGTTTATCAAAAGTGTGCGTTGTGGCAGATAAGTGCTGATATGATTGTGGTGTGCTTTAATATTAACGTGTGGTCGAAGCTCTAGCATTTGCCGAAATGCACCACGCTCTCTACTAAATACTTTTTTTCTTATTGGTACATAAAATCAAGGGAATTGCGATTCAGTACAAACATTTCCACGTGGCCATTTGCTCATTGAGTACCTTTGCCATCACTAGATAGGTCACAATTTGTTGATTGTAGCCTAAATACGAAATTTCGATATAATTTTGAGTAACCATTGTTGTTTGTAAATTAGTATACTAATAAATATACTAATTTTAGTTGTTTACACAAAATTATGCCACTTTTACCAGTCGTCAGCAATACCCCCTATTTTCATTTATAATTACAATCACCCACATTTGTATTGGTTTCAACCGAATTTAAACAGGAACTTTTTGTCCAGCCATATGGTTTCTCTCCATTTTGCCCAAACGTGAATTATTAAATTCACTTATGCGTCAAGTTGGGAATTAAATTGCGATCATGTACTTGGATCAGGTTTCATCCATCCAGCAAGTGAGTATATCTTAGAACGCGATACATTTTACCTTTCAGTAGTATTAACGTTGCTGCTCAGACATTTCGCAGGGTGTAAAAATAACATGATGTGGAGCTGATAAGAGAGGGTCTGCATTGAGGCACATGAAAGCCTGCAGCAGTCAGAAGTAAAATAAACTCACGACGATGCTAGGAAATTTGTGACAACTAGCTGCCTTTAGCCAATGAGAATTTTAAGTGATTTTGTGTGAAAATAGTCACATGCTGTAGACCTCTGTAGATCTAAAACATTAATCTAAGTTAAAACAAAGATATGACCCTATTAAGCCACCCGCAAATACATGGACTCCTTAAAGCATGTAGAGGAATTTCCCAGTCAAACGGATATTTTTTATTTTAATGCAGCTTGCAAAGTTTCAATCCACATTTAAGCTCCTTTTTCTGCAGCATAAAAAAATCGGGTGCCGCTCTTGTCAAATTTTAATAACACTTGCAACTTCGAGGGTGTGATTTTATAATTTAGCAACCTCAGCGCTTAATACGCACCCCTCTTTAAACAAATAATTGCGACTTTATTGTTTCAGCCATGGAAATGACAATCACTTTAGAGGGTCATTAAAAATCAAACTGTCATAATTTAGTCCGGTCAGGCAAGCCAATTAAGCTCTAGCACACGAGGCCACATGCACGCGCTCTCAATCGAACACATTTTCGTAGACTGAAGAGTCGGGCATGTGGATTTCCTGCCCGTAAAGTACGCCCACGCAAACGATGACACATCACACCCACCTCTTTGTGTTGCCTCCATCTCGTCCCGTCTTCTTCCCCCCGGGTTCTGCGCGTGTCAATTAACAATAGGAATGTAATGCAGCTAGCTCACTCTGCTACGCCGCTTTAGAATGGCAGAGCCCATTGAAAAGGTATAATGTTTATCAGAGTGAGTAGTTGATAATGCAGAGCAATTTGACGAGTTAAATTTTCTAAAGTGGATATTTTACTAAAGGATTTTAAGGCTTATTCCTGTTTAATTAGTTTTTAACACATTCATAGTTATCTCACCAGAAAAACTTTGATTTATTTGATAAATTGAACTTTACAAATGACGATAAGGATTGCAAGTAGATGAAGCAACCAAATTCAGTGACGTTGTGCAAAATTTCATGGCTTAGCAGGTCGTAGTGCCAACTTTGAAATCGCTTAACTTTAATTTACGTAGTTTAAAAATTCCCATGTTATAACATTCAAGGAATTATAACGCAGGCCTTGCCATTGTGATAAATCTTTCAGGTTTTTTGCGTGTCTCAAAATTCAGTGTAGTTGTATTAACAATTAAAACGAATGTGCAAGGTAACAGTCACTTTATTGAGAGTAACCAATTAAAAATCCTCGCATTTAAAGCATTAGCCAAAAGCCCATTAAAACGCTGCTGTAAAACTATTTATTGTTGAATCACCAAACTGTAAAATTGGGAAAGTTTATTGAAGGTAAAACAAAATTAAGGCCTGTCGAACTCTGGTCGCAAATCGTAGTTTTCAACCTGCAAGATAAAAAAAGGCTCCAAAGGAACAGCAAAACACCAGTGTGTTTGTGACAAACAATTTAAGGAAAAAACACGACTGCACGAGCGATAGACGCAAAGACTTCCGCACTGATGTACAGCACTTTTAGAAATAAACTCAAGAACTGTGATACCAAAAAATAAGACTCAGCCGTGCATATCCACAAGGCCACATACATTCAAGGATTCGTGATTTGCATGCACGCTCTTGGCAAAATTTTCGATGTTGTAGGACATGGACTTCATGCATAAATGGTCAAAATTTTGAATAGGAATACTTGCGTACATTATTGTTTTACTATATATGCATACGGTTTACAAGCAATTTTAGAATGTTCTGACGTGATCCAAACAAGGTGTGTAGACACAGTCAAACCCCTTTTTTTCCTGATTTTAAAATTAAGTAGTGTATTCTGATCCCACATTATCGAAACAGATGCACATGGAACAATTTGGTCTAAATTAGGTGCTCGAATCGCCGACTACGTTCTTTAATGACCTTAGGAAATTTGTTGAATGATAAAATTATTCTTGGTGCAAGCTGTTAAGTAAAAACCGGTAAGGTGATTTCTTTCAGGGCACTCAGAGGAAGAATAACAGTCCAGTAAAATTTGAAGCACAAATTTCAGTCAAAACTTTGTTGGTGACTTTTGTTTGTTCAGTGCAAAGATTTGTGTAGTTCAACTCGGACGTTCGAACTGAAAGCGCCAAATAAGCGTCCGCATATAATGACTGTAACGTTGGAACAATTTTGGTGTGCCAATCCAGGTCTCTGATTAACTATAAGACAACACTTGGCTCATCCCAATTCATGGATTCCCGTTCGTCGATAAGAACAGCATTTAAGAGAATCAACTTTATCCGAAATAGTACGATGAGAAGTCCTGCTAAATTAATTAAATCAGAATCATTCTGAATACACTGGCTTGCGTTCACTTACGAGGAATTCCCTATTGCCCGAGGACTAATCTGTCCTTCAGTACAGACGTGACTTTCTCAGAGTATGAACCAAAGTTGGAAGGATCAAATTCGGCTACCATAGACAGCTAATTAATAATGATTAGCAGCAACCACTTTCTGAAAGATGAGTGCTGCAATTATGGTCTTCCACAAACAAAAATTACCACATCGAATGCAAGATTTTTCAACGATTGATTGCTTTATCCTACAAACAGACCAATAGGAATCGCTGTCCCAAAAGAAAGAATGAAATATTTTGAGGTTTCGAGGATGCCTGAGAATCAATTTCGTAAGTGGAAAAATTTATGGTTTTGCAGCAGGACTAAACGTGTCTGATGCTATTTCTGCTTTCGACAGGAACATGACAGTGCAAGCATCACGATTCAGTTCCGTGCGAGTTTTATGCATCCTAAAAGTCATGTTTTACGACCTCCCATTTTGCCATTCATCTTTTAAATATCAGCCTGAATCTTCTGCGATCAAAAGTGAATTTAGAAAAAAAGATGATTATGCGATGCAAGCGCAAGTATAACCAAAAAACACAAGCATAAATACGCATGGACACGCGTTCCCAGTGAATGGGATATCTTTCTTCCGACGAACCTGTGCTGCTTGATTTACTCTGTTCTCTCTCATCAACGAACCGGACCTGGCTTCACTTACAAATTTACTAAATTTCCCTTTTCCTCCTAAGTAGCGTTAAGATTTCTACGGTTAAAATATGTTCAATTTGTTAACGACTGGCGAACTCGTTCCTTTCAGCGAATTCATCTGGGCTTATACAAGATTTACAAGTCCATTTGAAACTTAATTTAATGCTAGAATCATTTGCTTCCGTCTTTAAATGTTTTTTGAACTGTAAATCTTAACAATTCTATTAGTGCTTTTACCAACACAGAATCAATCCTAATTGGGTTTTAATTGATTCCACAGAATTGTCAAAGCGAAATCAGCAGCCATGACACGGTCCATCACA